TATATATATATATATATATATATATATACACACACACAGTTCGTTCGCAACAGGGACATCAGCGTTATCACCAAGGTGAAACTTCTGGCGATTCACACCTTTAATCCACTCCTCTGCGCTCCCATTGGTCCGCTATCCTTTTAAAGCCTCGCTCGATCTTTGAGGTGCACCAGGGTGAACTTCTCGCCAGGCAGAACAGAATGTATCTCGACCGGATGCTCCCCGAACTCGAAATGGGCCCCACACTGATGCTTGAGAATCAACAGTGCCACTACGTGCCACATCAGCAGAAAGAGCCGCGTAGGACTTTTCATTGCCCCGTGTCGGGTCCATCAAGCCCGGTGTCGGTGGAGTCTGAATCCAGCTGCTCAAGCCCGGAAGCGAAAGCGCCCGTGGAAACTCGAGTGAGACGTCCTCTAAATGCGTTCATCATCTGGACCAAAGAGGAGCGCAGACGCCTAGCGCAGCTAAACCCTGACCTGGAGAACACTGACCTCAGTAAAATACTTGGTGAGTGCAACACTTTTTCTGTAAATAGGCCTACTTGTGTTAAATTAAAACATTATGTCGGTTAGAACTGTAATAGCCTAGTGTAATATGAATTTGATATTTTTTGGTATATTAAGACAGAAATAAAATGATCAGTCTAATATTACTATCCATAACTTATCCATACTCTAATATTGTTTAAACTAACACATTTTTTTGTTTTATTTTTGTTATAGGTAAGACATGGAAGGCCATGTCTCTGGCAGAGAAGCGTCCTTACATGCAAGAAGCAGAAAGACTACGAATCCAACATACCATTGACTATCCCAACTACAAATACCGGCCCCGTCGACGAAAGTGCAACAAGCGTGGCAGCAAGACGGCTTCAAGTGAGACTGTCAGTTCTCCAAATGCCTCTTTTCACCTTAGATATATGTTACAAGGTCAAGTCGCACAGAAACCATACAATCAAATAAACTCCTATAAGCTCCCACACAGTGGGTTTTCATTTGAAAACCACTCTTCATCATACCACTTTGAAGCAACATCATCAAATGGAAACATGACGTTCCATGGTGGTGCAACATTACTGAACTCTTCTTCTGTACATCTACCTCTGGCTACTTACTCAGAGTCGCTGTTGTATTCGCAGCATTCTATGCAGCAGAATGGGGTGGAATTCTGTGATCGATGGGGAACAGAGGTATGTGCATGTGTACTGTGTTTGGGTGGACCTTCTCTGGAGTTCTACCTAGAACAAGTGAGATCAGACATGTTGGACCAGCTTGACCGCAGTGAATTTGACCAGTACCTCAATCCAGCACAGCCTGTGGACCACAACAATGAGTGACCATAAACATAAACTTTGAATACTGCCATCCAGAGACTTCAATGGTGAAAGTTTATTTTCTACTGCCAGTGCAATAAATTCTTACTGAGACATTATTGTGTGTATATAAATACTGTTTATTTATATGTAATGCAAACGTTGCTGGTCATGCAGTGTTTAACTTTAGTTCAGTGTGTATTTATAGATATATATATTTTTTTTTTTCACTTGAGAAAAAGTTAGCTTTTAGGATGATATAAATAAAATATCTGTCAATATGGGATGAAGTGCATCAATGCTTTAGATGTTATTTAGTGTTGAAAAATCAATGTGGTCATAATACTTACCGAGTAACATGTTAGTTGGCAGATATTTTGTCACATACTGCCTACAAATTTTAAAAACAACATCACCTCTATATTTCTATAATAAATATATAAATAAGTAATAAATAAATAAAGGCACAATAATTTCTGCAACCAGTAAAGCTAAACAGGATTTGGCTTACCAATGGCTCCTTCCCTTTCAGGGAGAAAAAAAGAAAAGAAAAAAAAAACTTAAATTGGAGTTTATTGCAAGTAAACCTTTGGTGCAAGTATTACTAATAGCTATCCTCCAAAAACATGTTTTTTTTTTTTTTCAAATTATATTTACATAACATTTATGTGGTCCTCTATTCTTATTGGCTGAGATGCTTTCCAGGAGTGCTGATATTTTACCAGTATCAGAACAGGGACTTATCACTCTGCTTGTCTCTGGGCATTCTAGATGGGCAGTATTTCTCCCAATGAGCAGCAATGGCGGTGAAGAAAACCCACTATAATTTTAATATATGTTAGTGATGCTACTACTACTACTAATAATAATAATAATTTTATAGATTTTTACGTAGCAATTGACTGATACATGGTTTATGAAATATCTTGAGAATATACTGAAATATTTTGTATTTTTTTTTAATTCAATTAAAAAAATGTTGAATGAAATAAACAAAAAATCTGACACTGTTTGCTTTTGAAAGCGTTTTGTGAATAATTTCAGTATTTCTTGTGAAATATTTATGCCACATATGCATTAAGCATTTATCATAATTGACAGCAAAGACTTTCTTTTCAAAGAATCATGGAAGAAAAATGTATAAAAATTTCTACAAAAATAAGCTGCACAGATGTCTTCAACTGTGATAATGTGACACTGAAGACTTAAGTAATGGAGTTATTGTCGCTGTGACAGCACAGAAATAAATTACATTGGAAATGCATTAAAATATAAAAATTATTTTGAATTGTAACAATATTTTACAAAATTTAATATTTTTATATATAATTTATATATTTTTATAAAATAAATGCAGCTTTGGTGAGAAATAGAGACTTCTCCCTTAGAAGCAATCACAATTCCCTCATCAAACACACTTCACAGCCAGGAATGTGGAACTGGGCAGGGCAATATAATTTTGGCAGGTGAACGTTAATACTGTGAAATAATACTGTCCCACTGGAAACCTCTTGCCTTTGTGCCTAGAGTCACAATATTCTCAGCAAACACACTTCACAGCCAGAAATGTCACTGGCATGAATGTGATGTGCTGTGAACCTGTACAGTGGGCAGAATAATTTTGATGGCTGCAACACACTCCAAAAAACAGAGGGACATAGGCAAAATAAAAGTGAACAGTTTATAGAATATCCAAATTAAACTGTTTTGAAACAGTTCACAGTAAGCAGGTGAATTGGTAATAGGTGACGGTATCATGTTTGGGTATAAAAGGACCATCTCTGTCTTTGCAAGCAAAGCTGGATCATGGCTCATCACTTTGTGCCAAATTTCATGAGAAAAGTGTCAAACCAATCAAAAATCAAATTGCTCAATGCCAAATTGCAAATAATTTAGGTCTTTCACCAACTAGCATACATAATATTATGAAAAGATTCAAGGAATCCAGGGAAATCTCCGTCTGTGTAGGGCAAGGCAGGAAACCTACACATCAATTCCAAGCAGTGATGCTGCGGGGTTGTCTGGGCCACAGCTTATCTCAGATAGTCAAAAACACAGTGGAAATGTGTGCTGTGGTCAGATGAGTCCACATCTGTGCAATACAAAGAAATACTGTCTCCCACCCTACCCCTGGAGGAACTGCCTTCCTGGAGGCTTAATTTTCAACCCTGCACCAACACAGCTGCATGTAATTTTGATGTAACCCTGATCATCTTAATGAAAGTTATGTGCAACAGACTTATGTAGTCTCTAAAACAGGTCTTGTTGCTTCTGGTTCAAGTGTTTTGTATGTGCTTTGTTACATATGGAGCCGTTTTACTCATGATACCTTCTAAGAAGATACCAAAGATGATCATAATCAATGTCCACCACATATGTAGATTGATATCAAACTGTTTTTATTTGTATCCTTTTCACTAACAATTTAGAAATAAAAATGTAATAAAACAGCAACAATAAAAACAGCTAGGTTAATTGGTTACTTTAAAATTCTATAGATATCAGCATTAGTTCATACAGCAGTTAACCCTTTCTCTGACAAGCGGATGTGATGGATGAGGATGAGATGATGGATGAGACCTGTTTACCGAGTTTGGTGAGGTGACATTCGCCATATACACCATTAGCTGGTTCAAGTGTGTATGTGTCACAAAGCAAGGCCAGACACAACAGGTAAGTGCAAATCAGGATGGTTTATTGACTGGGTAAGGGGATGACTGGAATAGGTGTGTAAGGCAGGTGAGTGTCAACACAGTGAATGGGTGACTGAAGTGACCGTGATGAATCCCTGACAGTATGATTGGGGTTGGAGCTGAACTCTGCAGGACGGTAGCTCTCCTGGAGCAGGGTTGAAAATCCCTGCTGTGCACACACTGCTCAAAACATTATGGGAACACTTAAATAACACATTGGATCTTAATGAACATAATATTCCAAAATGAAGACCTTTGCATATATACATTGTGTAATTTGTTGAGAACAAAATTATGTGACAATGGTCAATAGAAACCAAAGTCATCAACTCACTGAGGGCTGGACTCAAAATCAAGGTTAAAAAAAAAACAAAAACATGATTTTCATTAAAGCAACTCATAATGTAAATCAGTGTATGGCCCCCATGTGCTTGTATGTGCTCCTGACAATGTTTGGGTATGCTCCTGATGAGATGGAAGATGGTGTCCTGGGGGATCTCTCCCAGACCTGGAATAGAGCATCGGTGAGCTTCTGGACAGTCTGTGATGCTACTTAGTGGCTTCGGCTGCTCTGATACATAAAATCCCAGAGGTTGTCAAATGGATTCTGGTCTGGGGAATGTCAGAGCCATTCAGTGCCATCAATGCCTTGCTATGCTCGCAATGCTCTTTTGGTCTGGCGCATATGTTAGCTGCAACAGCATGGTCGGTGCATTTGTTTGTATGCGTGTTGTTTGAAACATCATGGAAAACTGGACAAGTTGGGTTTTGAATATTTTTATAATCATATGGATTCTAACGGCGCTGTTTGGAGTATTCAGTTAAATGATGTCGGAGTGGGGCATGGACTCACCTATTCCCAGTGTAGCAAAGTGGTGTTGGGCAACAGAAACAGTAACACTGGAGAGATGACTATGCCACCCTAGGACTTGCACCCAGGGAAATACAATGCACCCTCAGGTGCTACTCAAGGCAACACAGGTTCAACTCTACTAAATAAATGAGCAAGAGACGTGGGTACAGAAATATATTTTGTTTTAATAATTCAATTAATAAATTATTTTGTTAAAAAGAATCACATGAACAATAACAAACCTAAAATGATGGTACTACTTGCTGCTGATCTCCAAAATACACACACACACCACACAAAAAGGTTTACAGGGCTGTGGCCAACTGGTATCAAACTCCTAAAGAAGCATACATTTCAATTATCACACACTGTGCACACATTCACACACTCACACAATACCCAGTGAGATTACTGTCGGTGATCGACACGGCACGACACTGCACACGGTGACAAGACAGCACCACCACCACACAAGTGTGGAAAATCTGCCTCCCTGCTTTTTGTTGGCCACACAGCACCTGTAACTAGATAAACCAAATCAACTTTAATAAACCCCACACACTCAAGCACACAAATTCACACTGAATTATAAAGAAATCACAAACACACACACACACAAAATAAAGAATAAAGATGATATAAACTTAATCTCAATTTCTAACAAAATCAAGGACACAACCAAAAAACAGAAAAACAATTTCCAACAACTGGTTCAAAAAGACAAATATTAAAAAAAAAATCAAGCAAATTAATAAACTAAAAGATGAAATACACACAGAATGAAATACACACTCAGATCAAAAGAAAATAGACAATCAGATGATACATCTAAATAAATAATGTCACCAGGCATTCAGCATGTTATATATAGAGGCCGATGAGGCTTATATAAACAGATGTTAAAATATAGAGCCAAGATGAACCATCCAACAGAGAAAAAGGCAAAGAAAAGGCATCTAATGCATGAAAGCAAAATTAAACTGATACAAAACAAAAATATAAACCAGGGGTCTCCAACCTTTTTGTGAGTGAGGGCTCCCTGAAGGGATAAAATAGTCTCAAGGGCTACTTGTTTGATATACTATTAATTAATATATATATTAATTGATATCTTGATATCTTTCCATTAATAAACATTAATGATTTCTCACAAGCATTTTAAATGTTTTTTAACAATCCAGGAAAATATTCCAGAAAAATGTATAAAAATAGGCTATCACAATATATATTTTTTCCATATCATACAGTATTGATATTTATCATGGTATTCATTTCCCATTAATTGGGAAGAAAATGCTTTCCACATGTTTGTTAGACCTTGAGAATAAAGGTAAACGTAGCTTTGTTCACAATTAAATTCCACAGAGGAGCTACGTTTTAATTTAGGGCCCCATGAAATGCTAATGCTTAGGGCCCCTAAATTCTGTGTTATCCATTTGATTTATTATGGATTCTGTGTTTTATGATTCAGTACAAAT